CTGGCAAATAAAATACTTTTTACTTTTTAAAATTTACAAAGTTAACTATAAATATTTATGCGAGCTAGGCAGTAACGCATCCCAAACATTTTTATCTTTTAAATAATCATTGACTTTATAGTAGCCCTTTTTCATTAACCTCGTAAGACCGAAGAGTAAATGGTGTCGACTTCTAAGTATCGCCGAATGTGCTTTCAGAAGAACGAATAATTTGAAGTAGTAAACGCCGAGCACTACGAGTAAAAAAATTTCTATGTTAGAGATTTTCTTTTGCATTCATATTTTCAGGGGCCCTATATAATAGTGCATAGAGCTTATTTTAGGTGAAAAATAATAAAAAAATGTTTTCTCTTATAAGAACATTCGGTATTACATACTTTAAAAAGGAAAAGTAAATAAATTGTATTTTATACTTTAAAGTAAAACAGAAATGTAACCTTCTTAATAAATTAATACTACATAAAGATACAATAACGATATTAATAAATGTAACTGAAAAGGAACAACGGTTTTTATTTTATTTAATGTTTCATAATTAGTACTTTTAAAAGTACTATCGGTTTTATAACATACACTAATGATAGGTTAAAATGTACAAGAAGTAAAGTGAATATTCATGTTAATTATAATATTTACTAAACTAAAAATCAGAACGTTCTCATGGTAAATTTTCTCAATCATATCATAATTTTAAAAGTCCAATACTCAATCCCATCTCAATAGAAAAAATATACAAAAATAAAACTTTCACCATCAAGACCGAATGTTCCTTGCAAAGAACTTTTATTTTCAAACGAAAAAAAATCTTACAAAACTACTTCAAATTGGGAAAAATATTTTTTTTGCTTGTTTAGCAGTATTTTAACTTAAATTATACTGGTCAGTTTTGCAATTAAACTACGTTTACGTGAAGAAAAAAAAATAATCACACATCATGTCTTCTTTGACGAACCACCTTGTCAAAGAAAAATGATAATTTGACAGTGACATTTTGTTTTTTTTATATTAATAAGTTCGGATACCTGATTTTGAATACTTTAGGCCATAGACTATCACTCTTTTCTTTCGATAGGCGCGAATTTTTGAACTTAAATTTATCGCTAAAGTTTTAGTTCCTCTGAAGGCACATCCGGCGATACTTCGAAATCACCTCCGAAAATGTCTCGGCGTTACCGACTACAAAGTTTCAGTTCCTTCTGAGGCACATCCGGGCTTACGAGGTTAAGGTACTTTTAATATGTGCTTTGAATTTATGAATGGTCAATGGGTAGTTCTACAACAGTTTGTGGTAATTTATTAAAGAATTTAATACATTTTCCCATAAATGAATTACCAATCTTATGCAGTCTGAATAGGCCAGTAGAATTAAACACAAAAATGAATTAAATCGGAAATAATTCCTACAAAAGATTTTATTGCTTTAATGGCTTCATTGATTGCCCATAAATACTCTCCTAGGTTTTCGACTTTTCGGCGTTTTTTCGGTTTTCCGGTTATACTGCGTAAAGGACTTACCCTATCGAAAAGTGGTCTTCATGACAGTTGAAGGGTACTTAATCCTGCATTGAATAAGACCAAATTCATTATGTTTTGGACAAACCGTTCACGTGCTTATCAACTTCATACACGTGAAAATAGTTTAAATACTATTTCCCGTGCTTGGAACATTTTTCTTTACTGCTTCGTCTCTACTAGTCGTAGAGTGATTGTATGTATCCTATAGCCTTTCTCAATTTATGGGCTATTCAACACAATAATAATTATTTAAATCAAACAACTAATTCCTGAGTTTAGCGCGGTCAAACAAACAAACAAAAAACTCTTCAGCGTTTTAATATGAACTTATTGTTGTTGATTTTTGGCGTCGAACCTTGGACCAGGCATACGGCTAAGCAATACAGTCGTACAGGAGGGTACAAGGAAGAGGGGCAGCCATAGTAGATAACAGAGTCGTTCAGGAGAGTGCAAGGAAGAGGTGCAGCAACCGCAGTTATGGATCGGCTGGGACGAACAAGGATAAGCGAATCCAACTCGCGAGCCTTGACAGGGATAAGCTGGTTAAGGCGGCCCTTTACAAGGCTTGGGAGCCTGCGGGTGACGAGCTATTGGACATAGAGAGGGTTATTAATTATACGTACATTTTCTACTTTGTCGAAGATAAGCACGAGAACGGTTTGTCCAAAACATATGAATTTGGTCTTATTCAATGCAGAATTAAGTGCCCTTTAACCGTCCTGAAGACCACTTTTTGATACGGTAAGTCCTTTACGCGGTATAACCGGAAAACCGAAAAAACGCCCCTTTCGGAGGCCCCCACCACTTAAGCACAACTCCGTCGAAGTCGAAAACCTAGTAGAGTCTTAATGGGCAACCAATGAAGCCATTAAAGCAATAAAATCTTTTGTAGGAATTATTTCCGATTCAAAATCTAATTCTACTGGCCTAGAAATTTGGAACGGCAAGTTTATTTTTGTTTCTTGTATTAAAGTTATGCAAATCGCTCTTTTTCGTGAATTGCTCTATATTTTTGCGAACATAATATAAAAGGTTTTCATAAATGAACTGTGAAACTACTGTCAGTATGTTAATTGATTTGGAGAACAGCCTAGGTGGCGAATTAGTGCAGTTTGCAGAGCTTCTGAAAACAGATTTCTTGACTTACTTGATCTTAAAACAGATGTGGCTACTCTTATTGACAGCAAGAAACAGGAGCCTCTGGAGCAGCAATTTTATAAACTTAATAAATAATTCTTTAGAATCGTGTTTTCCAAACTTAGAAATTGCCTTGCGCATTTACATGTCTCTCATGATCACTAACTGCAGTGGCAAACGTTCTTTTTCAACATTAAAACGTATTAAAAATTAATTAAGGAACACGATGGGACAAGAACGTCTTAATCATATTACTTTGTTGAATATACTCGTAGAGCATGATTTCCTTAAAGAAGTTGATATTGAAAGTGTTATCTCTAAATTTGCCCACATTAAATCAAGTTCATTTGTAGATAACAGTTTTGTTTCATTTAATACCCTAAACTTGAGAACCTAAAGCAAACCAAGGGCCCCTTGATAGAAATTTGCTACAGGCCCCGCGCTGGCTTAATCCGGCACTGGATTTAAAGTGAAAAATAGGTTAAGGTGCGGCGGAGGTGGCCCTTGGGCCACCCCTAAGCCGCCTATTTAGTTTTATACACACATAAATGACCTCATATTAATCACATTTACCAAATCATGCGGTAATTATTCATAATAACCGGCGATTATTCATAATTTTCACATTTATCACTTTGACCGTAACATATATACTTTAGAGACTGACAATGTTGTTCATACATGAAGCGGGCTGCTTCTGCGGGATTACTCTGAGAAACGTTATCCGAAGTTTCAAATGTTGCCGACCCTCTCACGCAAAGCGAGATGCTAGCATGAGCGACAGTGACAGATAGAGCCCAAACTTCGTAGTAGCCCTGCTGATGCTGATGTTCTGTGGTCACAGAACGCATCCAGTGTTGCAAATACCTCTATTCCAAGGCACACACAACTTCTCTAAACTTCATAATTAGTGTTCATTGTTAAATATTAAGATCTTATAATCTCTTATCACATTTCATTAATTGATTTTATGTTATGTATTTATTTTTATTATGAATATACATATTTATCACACATCAAATATTGTATCTTATATTACAATGTACTATTATAATTAATTCATCATAATGTTAACAAATTGGTGTTGTCTTCTTCCATCCGGGCGGTGTCGACGGGTAGCAAGTGCCAGAACGAATACTGTACTATCGCGTAAGACACTATTTTTACCCCACACACTAGCGCCCATTCTAGCAGCGAAACTAAATTACCACACTAAGGGCTCGATTCTGTGGTCGATTCTTGATTTAGGCACGTATTAAAAAAACAACGCTAAAACATCATTTATCTGTGGCTAAAGTATCAATCATACTTAGTCTTCTTCAATTCTGAAAACTAGATTCAAACTTTGATCGGTTTATAATATGTTTAAAAAATCATGGTTCTCAGAACCAAGTCGTTGGCTAAATAAAAGAAGAAGAACATGCTTCAAATTTAAAACCAATTACGGCATAAATCTATGACATACTCGAGAATAAAGCGAGTTGTGATTTTTTTTTCATATTATAATAGACCATAGATATCCGAAATATTTCAAGATCAATGATCAGGTCTAAATTAAGTTGAAATTTACTCAAATCACAGAATCGAACCCTAATAGTAAAAAAATATCTCCTCGTCCTACTTACAGTAAAGATCCAGACTTATTTGTATTAATACTAAATCAGCACGCAATGTACAGGATTAAATTTGATTTACTAACTACTATGTAAATACAAGTATTGACATTGGCACTCCTGAATAACACGAACGAATACTTAGATGAGTAGGCAATAGTTTGATTACCACACCCACAACGCACATTCAAAACAAAATTGTTGCGAACAGGCTGCAAAAATATTTGTTTTAATTAGGTAGATAGCTCTGTAGCATACTTATTTACTTTATTTTATTAGTGGTACATTATTATTATATTTAGTTTACACAGTATAATAATAGAAGAAACTTTATATGCATTTGTTTGTGTTGGACTTTATAACTTTTGTATTTACTTGTTTATTCGTGTTTTTAATTAATGTATAAATAGCCACGATAGCCGAACGGTGAAGGGATCGGCCGACTCGAGATCCGAGGAACGCGGGTTCAAATCCCACCGCCGCTCGACTATTGTGGTGAGCCCACTCGTAACGTAACACAAGCATATTTAGCTTACCACGAGGGGCTAACGGGACTATTGGTAATTTGTGCAATACAAATTACGAATAATCTTAAAAAAAAAATTATGTATGTGTAAAAAGTTACCTTGTTTTAGTCGTGAAGTAAATAATGTTTGAATTTTTTATTAACATGTGTCTTGGTTTCCTTGAAGCTATCTATTCTTCAGCGTTGTAAAAACGTATTTGTATTTGCAGGCCAAAACGCTTCACCCTGAAAGCGTACAAGCGTGGTTGGGTGTCGTGTCGTGACGGCGTGCTGCGCATACATTCGTCGCGCGACGCGGCGGCTAAAGGCGACTCGCCGTCGTACGCGGTTGAGCTGAGGGGTGCTGAGGTAAGTCATCATCATCATTTCTATTAGAAAAACGTTTGTTACTTGGTCAGAAATTCTACTGCTAAATCAATTTACCCGTTTACTTTTAAATCGGATTGAAAACGATATGGAACTCATCTATGACAACATTCACAACTAAAAACTTTATTTGATAGACCTTTAAGACATGTGACTGACTGCAAAAGGCTGCATGCAAAAGTAACCTTGATTCAAGTTGATGGTAAACGTATTTTTTTTTCTTATAATATCGATACCATCGTTTGTCTATGAGATATCGACTCGTGACCATTTTCTCTACCATAACGTTGCCCCTCCCATACTTTGCATTATACAAAACATAAAAAACTCACCAACAAATTGAGAGCCTCCTCCTTTTAATTCGGTTAAAAAGGCTGTCTCAGAATTAAATTATCAATAATCATCTTGTTTGGGAAGTTATACCATGATTTTCATTATTCCAGATCACCCCAGACGCACACCCGGCGTCCGGTCGCTACAGCATAAAACTTGAAGTCCCAGCTGACGACGCCATGCACGAAATGTGGCTCAAATGTGAAAACGTGAGTATACGCATAAATTGAGTCTAGTTTCGGTGTACTTTCGGTTGTAGTATCTAACAGTGACAGGGATACTACGAATCAGTGTTTATAGATTCGAATCTATCGGTCACTGTCACTCATGCTGGCATTTCGCTTAGCGGGTGAGGGATGGCAAAATTTGAAACTTCTAATAACGTTTTTCGGAGTAACCCCGCCGGTCTACCCCAAGAAGCCATGATGTGAATACTGAATGTCCATAAATTGGACAGGATCAATCTTACTTTAGCTGTTACCAGGAGGACCAATATGCCGAATTAACTTTAGTTATTTTCGGTTGGTTTACGAGAGCGATGTTTAATATATCTGACACTAGCCCGGTCTACCTCATGAAGCAGTGATATAAATGTACCTAATAGGCCTAAGATGCGCGCCGTGATAATTATCGATGCCATTTTATCGATTTTACGCCACATTTTGACGTCAAAAATCATCGATAAGATTTTAAATGGCACACATCCTTCCTCCTCATTCCATCCCGGCTGAAGAATTTAACATTTTATTGTTAACTTGCAGGAGGACCAATACGCAGAGTGGGTAGCCGCCTGCAGACTCGGTTCCCGAGGTCGTTCACTCGCCGACTCGTCCTTTGTGACCGAAGCCGCCGCCGTCAGAACTTTATTAGCTCTACAACGGCCACAACCAGGCGCGGCGTTGCACCAACAGAATGTGCCACATTTGGACCACTTGCAGCCTGAGAACTTCCTCGCGCCACGGTTCCTCAAGAAGCTGAAGGGAAAGGTGAGCTAAAATAGACATTATCGCAACGGGCTTAGGTCGCTAGAAGACCTTTGTGACCGAAGCCGCCACCGTCAGAACTTTATTAGCTCTACAACGGCCGCAACCAGGCGCGGCGTTGCACCAACAGAATGTGCCACATTTGGACCACTTGCAACCTGAGAATTTCCTCTCGCCACGGTTCCTCAAGAAGCTGAAGGGCAAGGTAAGCTAAAATAGACCTTATCGCAACGGGCTTAGGTCGCTAGAAGACCTTTGTGGCCAAAGACGCCGCCGTCAGAACTCTACTAGCCTACAACGGCCACAACCAGGCGCGGCGCTGCACCAACAGAATGTGCCACATTTGGACCACTTGCAGCCTGAGAACTTCCTCGCGCCACGGTTCCTTAAGAAGCTGAAGGGAAAGGTAAACTAAAATAGACCGTATACGGGCGTAGGCCGTCAGAACTTTATTAGCTCTGCAGCGACCGCAACCGGGCGCGGCGTTGCACCAACAGAATGTGCCACATTTGGACCACTTGCAGCCTGAGAACTTCCTCGCGCCACGGTTCCTTAAGAAGCTGAAGGGAAAGGTAAACTAAAATAGACCGTATACGGGCGTAGGCCGTCAGAACTTTATTAGCTCTGCAGCGACCGCAACCGGGCGCGGCGTTGCACCAACAGAATGTGCCACATTTGGACCACTTGCAGCCTGAGAACTTCCTCGCGCCACGGTTGCTTAAGAAGCTGAAGGGAAAGGTAAAGAAAAGTAGATCCTACTGCAACAGGTATAGAATGACCACTTCCTCGTGCCCTATTGTTATGAAGCTGAAGGAAAGTAGTTTTTTATGACCAAAACCGCCGTCAGGTTTAGACTAGCATTCATCTTTGCAATGGGGATACTGAAGGATTTTAAGCAAATCAACACTCGTACGAATTCGGCGTGTGGCATAACGCGTTTGCAAATTTCCAGTCACCATCAAATCTCTTACAAACCCTAATCAATTTTTTCTTTCTTTCACCCAGTTCACCCAACGCCTGCTCGAAAGCCACGCGAACGTCAAAGACCTGCCTCTCTTAGAAGCAAAACTGCAGTACATCAAGACCTGGCAGAACCTCCCAGACTACGGCCAGACGTTGTTCGTGGTCCGCTTCATGGGACACCGCAAGGATGAGATCATCAGCATCGCCAATAACAGAATTATGAGGCTGGATCCTAACACTGGAGACCATATTAAGACCTGGCGGTTTAGTACCATGAAGGTAAATAATAAATATTAATCGAATAATCTAAAATGAAAGTTTGAATTTGATTGTTGTATTAGAAAACACGAAGGATTTTATATGAAACTTGACAATTTAACTTTTATAGTACACTAGCTTTCTGCCAGCGGCTTCGCCCGCGTGGATTTTTTTCTGTCACTGAAAAACTTTATCGCACGCGTCCCTGTTTCAAAAATCGGGCTATCCTATGTCCTTTCCCGGGACTCAAACTATCTCTATGCCAAATTTCATTAAAATCGGTTCAGTGGTTTAGGCGTGAAAGAGAGACAGACAGACAGAGTTACTTTCGCATTTATAATATTAGTATAGATATGATTAACGTGAAAGTTAGTGATTGAGGTTTTGAATCTTTCACGCAAAAATTACTGAGCGGGTTTTTGATGAAACTTAAACAGGGTGTCCCAAAAAGTAGTGTCAAGCCGAAGCCCAGACTTAAAGCATAACTAGGGCTACCCGAATCACCGCTACTTTTGTTAGTTTTCGAGTTATGATTTTTTTTTACAACCAACAGTATAGTAGACAATTTCAACTTACCAATGGGTTTTTGAAGTTCTCGCGTCTTAGTTATAATATTTTCATTCTTTCAGGCATGGAACGTGAATTGGGAGATCAAACACATGATGGTCCAGTTTGAAGAAGGCAACATCATATTCTCGGTCCAATCAGCGGACTGCAAAGTGGTCCACGAGTTTATTGGAGGTTACATCTTCTTGTCTATGCGATCCAAGGACGCCAACCAAACGTTGGATCAAGAGTCATTCCACAAACTCACTGGCGGTTGGACGTAAGAAATTGATTGTGGCTGCAAGGAATCGGCGAAGTACAATATTGACTTGAGATTGGCTATCTCGAAGTTGGGAGAAAACTAAAATACTGTGAGCCAAAACGGTGAATATACTAGACACGTTTCTATTGAGAATTTTCTTGTACACAGACCTTTTAATCTCACTGACTAAAATTCCTATTTTCACGTGAAATAAATGTGTGTATTTGTGTGAGATCGCAAAGATGTTTGTTTGTCTTTTTTATACAAATACATACGAAGAATTGTAACAATAAAATTTAAATGACGAGGCTTATGATATGTGCCTTGCACACGTTTATAATCTCTAATAAATTAAATTGAATAAACAATGACGTAACAAAGATAAAGTAACGCGTATTTTTGTACCAAGAAACTTATGGATAAATTCATTTACTGACTTCATTTACTTAGATTTTAATGTAGCGCTTCCATATTTATGTATTTAGCAAACTTAAATATGCCAAATATCACTGATGCAGATTTTATTTCGTACATATTTTTACATCACTATTTGATAAAGCAAAATTAGAAAAATAAATACCTATGTTTTCATTATAGTAATATAGATAAGAATTAAGTTATAATGATTATTGTTAATTAATTTAATTTTATGTATAACAAATATATATTTCAAACATAGTGCCATTGAGTAACGATATAATTATTGCACATGTGTTTTGGTGCTTTTATGAAATATATAAATTTCTAGAGTATAAGGAATGCGAGTGGCCTTAACTTTTATGAAGATTATTGTCAGATTTTAATTTTGATATTTTGTAAATAAATTATTTTATTTCACAAATGCTATGCATGTTAGGATTATTACAGAGTTAACAAACGACTATAATTCATTTCGCTTCTAAAATTATGTTTATTTTAACGTAGTTTCAAAGATTTAATTTTATTTTGGTGGACCCTAGTCTCATTGAGATCGCGCATATAATGCTGTCACGGTAAATGTAGAAAATACGAGTATTAACAAATTTGCCTTATTTTACTGTAGGTCTATTGTACAAATTGTATGTACACATAATAAATTTAGTGTCTGTTTGTAAATGAATGTCAGAATAAATGTAAATGAATAACAAATTAAACAATCCTTTTATTTTACTTTACATCCACAGATAAAATGATGAGATATTAAAAAGGGTTTAAAATGAGGAAAACTTAAGTTTATAGATAGTTAAAAATGAGGTGAATTTATTTAAGATTTAGATAGAACTACAGGTAAATTGCTTGGTTCATTCAAAATGTCTGTCAATACTGCTGACTATACAGGAGTAAAAAAAGGAATAAAATCTCCCGATTTAAAATTTTATGCAAAAGTAGAATACTGATTTAGGTAGCGTATATGATACTGAACATGCGGTAGACTTATCGGTGGCATATTCAAGACTAAAGAGCAGGAACCAGCTACGTCATTCACTTTCATCGCTGTATCTGTCTGGGACCACATCACCTTGGGTCCGTCTGCAGAGCCGGTGTACTCCTCTACGGCCAACACATCTGCCTGCCCACATGTAGTCCACATTGTAAAAACTAGGAGGCGATTGCCTGAAAATAAAATAACATCTTAAATTAGAGCAATAACAGATTATCTTAACAGTAAATATTAATTTCGTCTAGGTGTTTATTTTTAAGTGAGTTCATTTGATAAAAAGAACTGGATATTATAATAAGCTGGCAGAATTTCTCAGGTATTTTTTTATGCATAACAAGGCAGGTATTTGACCACAATATTTGGCACCTGGTGTTAATGTGCTAGACAAACACTTACCTAAGTTGCAAATGTTAGCAGGAGGATTCGCAAACTGTGTTATCAATTCTAAACTGGAGTCTACATCAGGCCTAAACCTGTTCAGGTGGTTGAAATAATTTTGGGTACAATAAATATAATCTTTGAACGATATCATACAGTTTATCCTGATATCTGTTTGTATCACTCTGAACCATCTATCTGATAGTCCGGTCTCCTCATATCTGTATATGTTTTTGTGGCCTGCTGCGTACGCCGTGTTTTTATGCGCACATACAGCAGGGCTCTGAATTGCATCTGGTAATTTTGCAATTTTTCTGTAACTCCTCCGATTCAAATCATAAATAATTCCTGTATCCAAAACTACCCTGCAAATTACATAAAATGTAAATATAGCAGATATATTAACAGAGTTATTAACACAAACATTACTTTCGACCTAAATAAAGGACTAACCTAAACCCACCTACTCCTCCAACAATGAATAATGAATCGTCAACCACTGCGACTCCTCCATGCCTTCTGGGTGGCAACTCAACTCCATGTTTGGTCCACTCCATCCGCAATGTATCATACACTTTCACAGCTTTCATGAACATTCCAGTTCCTCTACCGTGCTCCCCGCATACCACCACCAGCTTGTTTGGACCCCAGGCAACAACATTCCAACCCCACAAATTCTTCTCCGCCACCTCAATCCACTTCTCAAAGCCCTTTTCTTCAGTGTAAGTATACATACAATGTGGTGCAATTTCTGGTTTTGAGTCTTTTACTAACATTATGGGAACTGCCGGTGTGTAAAAATGTTGCCTGGGCCTACTCTCTTTTACTAATGATAACACCTCATTGTAAACTCTTTCTGAATACATTTCAAGTAGGTAAGACTTCTGCTCCGTTACAATCGGTGGTGACAATTCAAGGTCTCTACATGACAACTCATATAAACAGTCTACTACTTTATTACCAAGGCTATTAGCGTAATCTGTGGCAAGAGTTGCCATTTCTTCTATTTCAGCTGTAGTCAGTCTTGTCATGTCTAAGCAACATAGTACAATCATTAAAGCGTCAGCCCCAGTCTCATTGCTTATAATCCATTTTAAACCAAATTTAAAAACATCTAATTCATTCCGTGCGTCTAGATATGGGTGCGATAGGTACCAATATAGTTTTTGAATTGACGGAACGTAATCTGGCTTCATTGCTTTAAATGAGAGCAGACCAAATGCAGCAGAAAGCTGTTCCAGCTTTGCATAAGATGAGCGTTCTGCTATCATCATAGTTTCCATCCAATTGGATATTGATAATTGAATATCTAAGCAGTATTCTATTTGTTTTATTAGCTCCGTAATTTGTAAGAAATTCGCTGCAACGGCTAGCTCACCAACAGTTGTCAGAGAATGCTCTGAGAGATCTATTAAACCAATTTCCATGTATTTCAATATTAATTTCATAGACTCAGCATCAACCACCTGTACAGAAAACAGAATAATTAGCCACGTATTAATATTGAACAGTCGGCTTATAAAACTTTTAAATACTTTCTAATCTTACATGAAGGTAGGTAGATAGTTGGGAAGTGAATACTGCCAATTTTTATTGCTTCTTTATTTTATGAATGCTTTATAAAGTAAATATTTCAGTACTTACATCGATACTAATTTCTTGTTTCTCTTTTTCAACGTAGTTCCCGCTAAACATAGCGCGAAAATAATCACTGTGTTCACAAAGAACATTTTTCTTTACCTTGAATAATTGATTATCTATATTTAAAAACACTTCTTCCTCTAAATTCATTGTTTTTTATAAACAAAACTTAAGCAAATACACAGCTATTGTTGTCGAATTATTTAATAAATAGAAAATAATTTCCACAATGCGAAAATCACCTGCTTTTTTTGCCGACAATTTTCAAATCAAATGTCAAAACAAAAAAGTTTTTTTTTTTTTTTTTTTTTTTTTTTTTTTTTTTTCGTAGGTGTAGATATTGTATAGAAGGGGGCTAAGAACCGAGCCCTGTGGTAAACCTCTCCATACAGAGCGATCAGTATCTACAAATGGTAACCTAATGCGACGATCCGATAATATGTTAATTATGAAATTACTAAAAATTTGTGGTACGTTTAATTTATCAAGTTTCGTTTTTAGAATCGGTAAAATAACGTTATCGTATGCTGAATGGATATCAAGAAAAGCGGCTAATAATGACTCATTCTCAGACAAGGATAATCTAACATCTGAAATAAGTAAACTTAAACTATCAATAGTACTTCTAGCCTTCCTGAATCCATATTGACTACCAGCCAAGTATTTATTACTTTCAATATACCACTCCAATCTATTTTTAACCAGATGTTCCGCAAGCTTGATTAAAACCGATGACAGCGCAATAGGCCGGTAGGAAGATGCATCGGAACGATTTTTACCCGGTTTTAAAAATGGCAACACTAGTTGACATTTCCAAGATGGGGGAATATTACCCATATTACCTGTCATCATAATGGAATTGATTATTTGTAAATAATACTCAAGAATATCGTCATTGACATTGGAGAAAAATGAATATGGTATGTTGTCTAGCCCAGGAGCGGAGTCATGTGTGTTATTGACAATGGCTTTAAGCTCATGTACAGAGAAAGGTGAGGTTAGGCCAGTAGATTCTGGTGATTCTGGGCGGTTAAGCCAGTAGGAAGGACACTGAATCAACTCCTGAGCTACCCATGGAGGTGCCAATTTATCCAAAAAATCATTGACTAAGGTTTCGGGAATACTACTGTTACTATTTTCAGAAAAAGCAGATCTAAATCTCCTGATGGAACTCCACACAACAGTGGATGGAGTGTTTGGAGAGACAGAAGTACAAAATTTTCTCCAACTCTCAAATTTTTTATTCTTGAACAGTTTACGAGTATCCGCAATAGCTTTAGATAATAATTGGAAATTTGTATCAGACATGTCATTTCTATAATTTTTCTCTGCTATTTTCCTTTGCCTAACAGCCTCCGTACATGCACTGTCCCACCATGGGGGTGAAGGGATTTTACGTGGCGAATTATTTTTAATTGGAAAGACTTCTTTGGCAGCCTCTGTTAAAGCGTACGCTAGAGCATCAGCACAAGCTATTTCGTTACCAGGACTGAAATTTGGGAGGGAAGAAATCCTATTTATTACACTGCTTCTATACTTAGTCCAAAGATCACTATCATGACTATTGGGTAACTTAAAGGGAGATCTAGATATTTGTTTGGAAGCTGAAACTTTAAAATTAGGGAAATAAATGACTATGGGGTAGTGATCACTGCCAAAAGATGACAATAAAACCTCCCAAGTCAATAAAGGCGCAAGATTTGGTGTACATATAGATAGGTCTACTGCACTGCTACTTTGGTTGGGTTGTGAACGGCGAGTTGGAGTACCAGAATTTAATATAAAAAGGTTTTGAGAATCTAATACATCAGCTAGTTCCTCGCCATAACTATTAGTAACTGAACTTCCCCAGGACTGATGATGTGAGTTAAAGTCACCTAAAACTATGTAAGGTCTAGGTAACAGAGAAAAAATATTATTTAAGACACTGAAAATGTCAGATGAAGGATAGGGAATATATACAGATACAAAACATACATTATTTACACTTACAGCTACTATAGACATATTTACATTATGAGCAGGAAGAGAGATTGAGGTGAATGGTAGGCTATTTTTTATTAATAATGCAGCACCACCATAACCATCAGGTCGATCATCTCTTACTACTGAATAACCTTTTATTTTAAAACTGTACATTGGTTTGAGCCATGTCTCTGCCAAGGCAAAGACAGAGGGCTCGAACTTGTTCAATAAATAAATCAAATCTGACTTTTTGTTAATAATGCTGCGGCTATTCCACTGCAGCACTGTTGCCAGCGTATCCATTTTTAACTACTTCTAAACATTTATCAATTATATTAGCAGCGTGGGACGGTGATGGGTTGGATTGAGTTAACTGAATTAATGAAATAATTAAATTAATTAGGGTAAATTGTTGACTGTTAAGTGATTCCTGCTCTTTTTCTGAGGTTAGAGCACAGCCATTTGAGGGGGTAGGTATAGCAAATTCTCTGATAAGGGCATTATGAGCCTCTTGATCATAACCCTTGGTTAATTGTGGAGTTGACCTTGGTTTCATAAAAACTGTTTTTTTATATGATAAATTATTATTTACATTATTATTTACATTCTTATCTACATACCTAATAGATGATGTTGAAGGGCTAGCTTTAGAGGTTAGAACATCAGCATATGATTTGGAGACAGGTGGGTGAATTTTGGAAGCCTCTGCATAAGAGATACTATT